TTATGCATGTTATAGGTAACACTCGATGGTTCATACAGAATGCTTATGTTTTGAACAAAATATACAAAAGAAGATCATGTGCATATTCGTTGTTTCTGTCATAATCGTCAACGCTACATAAAATTCTCATTGCACAATTCATTAAAATGTACATATTTTTTATCCGGCAAGACATTTTTAAGAACTAACGGTCCTAAATAAAGAAAAAAAGTGCGATGTTGAGTCGCTTTCCATCTGTGATATTCATCCAAGTCAAAAGATTTTCGAGCAAATTCCATTGGAATACATTTTGACACAGTTTTCAGTGTATCCGATAAAATGTTAAGATAAACTTTGACTACTCTGGAAGTTTTCGACCTGTCTATCCACGACTTCAGAAGCAGCTTATTCACACCAAGACAGGAATTATGCATATAGTCAAGAGGAAAATGATTTACCATTGGAACTGAAACCAGTTTAAATGGAGATGAAATACTTTCAAGGTGATGTTCGAGTTGCGACCTGTTAGAAAAATCGATATCGGTCCGAAGTGGAGCACTTATATCCAAAAAAGTTATTCGCCTATTTATACTTTCGCCGATTACAGTACATTTTCCACAGCCAAAGTGTCTAATATGCGATTTTGTGCAAGTAACGTATGCTCGAGCCGAAGCATCGCAGATTGCAGCACGGATATTGACTTCTCGGGGCTGTTCGTTGATGAAGAATTTATTATTTTTTAAATCTAGATATTCATCGATGAATGGTTGAAGAAATTCGGATAAACAAGCTTTTTGGTAGCCATGATAGACACCGATGACAAATGGTGCAAATGGCAAATCAGAAATTCTGCTTAAAATCGGCCAAAGCTGACCTTTTGAACTTTTCGCAATTGGTAAACCATCAATGTTTAAATCCAAATAAATTACATCCCGATGGTCATAAGCATGAGGAAAACGATTAATGTAAGCGTTTTTAATAAACCGTAGTAAATGACCTTTAGAAAGAGTTTTAATTTCGTGAGTACCTGGTCTTGGGGTTTTCAAAAGCGTTCGCGCATCCCGGGGTAAATTATTATGCCCGTGTCTCGAAAGAGTATGCAATAATGAGGTTACTGCATTTTGATTAATTTCGAATTTATTTACCCATTTGCACAGTTCACCTGCCAAAGGCAAATTTACATTTTCCTGCGCATGCGGATTAATTTAAAATTTGTCACTGACGGTGCTTGTCTCTGGTAATGATGACACATCATCGCCATCGTCTACGTAACTAATGCTACTACCAGTTTCTGATGAAGCAAATTGCGAATTATTGATCTCCATTATGCCATCCTCAATCTCTCGTTTTTCAAATTCGAAAGATGAACATAATGGACCATCGATTGGGTTTCCGTTAATATTTGGAAGTGAAACCGGCTAGGAATCTACTTCACGATCAGAATTGTAAGAAAGTAAAGTTTGTCGGTTTCTTTGACGTTTTGATAATTCAGAAAATAGTTTGGGCATTTTCAATATGGATTTATCGTAAACGTACTTTTCACAGCTATGTAACCTATAAAACCCGGCTTGACTATATATGCTTCAATACCATATCTTAATACAAGATATTTTATTAATTTATAGCAAAAATACATATCATAGTTGTACTCTGATAAATTTACCACCGATTTAATTGATTTACTGTGGAAAATCTCTGGATATTGCTTTGGAATCTCTGAATCTCAGTAGTTAGAACTGGTCGGAACCTCAGAACTACTTATTACTTTGGCAATCACGCGCCATTTGCTTTGCACTGCATCGTGCGCATGCGCGACAGCGACATTTCACGAATGGCTTTTTGACCATGTCTTCCAGTCGACTTAAGTCAACCTACTCACAGTCAACTTCAAAATGTCTACTTCAAGACGTCTTGAAGTCGACATTTAAAGGACGTTTGCAGACGTCTAAATAAAGTTGACTGGCAGTTAACTACTGAAGGTCTGACTTGGCAAAGTCGACTCACAGTCGGCATATGAACGTTCGTGTTGTTAGGGATAAATTTACTGAGGAAATCACACAAAAAAAAAACGTACCATCAATAGTACCTCAATGGTAATGTGAAAATCTATTGACGTTAAATTTAAATATATACCATCTATTTGCTTCATATTATAATAATATATAAAAAAAAGAATATTTAATGTAAGGCAGTGCTCGGAATTAGATGCACATTTCGAGCTGACATTCCCGAGACGACACCTTTTATTCTCCCACTACTGCTCGAGGCTTGACGGCCGAGCCGCTAATGTTCTGGCTCAGGAGCGTCCCTATATAAAAAATAGGATTGTACCTTTTATAAAATCATTATTAACATTTATATAGGGACGCTCCTGAGGCTGAACATTAGACGCGCTATTGGCGGCTTGGCCGTCAAGTCTCGAGTGGTAGTGAGGGGATAAGAGGCGTCGTCTCGGGAATCGGTATGAAATGTGCATCTAATTCCGAGCACTGATGTAAGGCATGGGCACTATAATTTAAAATAATCCGCTTTATCGAGATCTCAACCTGAGACCGAAAAACCAGGAGGCCGGGGACAATCTGTTAAACGATCTTCTGGTGAGTATATGTCAGGAATCTAAAATTTTTTTTTTTTTTTTATTCGAAGATGAGAAAAATCTTCCAAAGACACTCTAGAGCCCGTGCTCCAGGGTAGTGCTGGATTCGACCGGGAGTCGTACCGAGGCAACCCAGCAGAATCGGAAGGAATTACGTCCCCGTCCTAACCGGGGTCAGGACATCCCACACGGGGCAAGAGCTTGCCAAACACCCGGAGGCGAGGAATTGCAAAGACCATCGTTCCCACCGGACCCCGATAACCATCCCGACTGCCAACCAGCTAAAAAACTCACCTCTCGCCCTACTGAGCCGTTTACAATGAAGAGAGACGGGATTACTTACGAGAGCATGACGCCGCCTCCCCTCAGACATAGCCATCAGCCCCAAACAACAGTTTTAACGGGACATCAAGAGAGAATGAAATGTAAATAAACCACGCACACACTAAGTCATGCATGAAGCCAGACATATTCATTCTAAACATACATAATGTTCATACCTAAGTATACTACAAATTTTTTAAAATTCTTAATCTAGCAATAACTCTTAGTCCTAATTCTAATAATAGTAATAGTACTTATTGTTTAACTTTATCACTACGCGATCACTCTATATATAGTTTATATCAATCAGTTTATAATGGGAGCTTTCCATCTAGGAGATACAGATCGACACTGTGTGACACGGTCAAACACCGTGCTTGGATACTTGATGGAATGCGTTTAGTTCTGAACTAGACTGCTAGAGTCTGCTTATGTCTTCCCATGATATCTAGTAAATTCATTTAATTAAAAAATTGGCGTACCAAGAGCATATTGGCATATTTAAAGTACGTACAAATCAAACATAACCATCATTAATTATTGTTTACGATCGCGATGAGTATAAATATATTTTGCAGATGGATAAAATAAAAATTCTCTAGAATACCATCCCAAAAATTGGCAGCCATGAACTAGACTCTGTGTTTGACTATGCTCTTCTGCTGTGTCGAACCGTGCCGTGGCGTGTCATTGTTGGAAAGCATTGTGTCTGACACCGTGTCGATGTGTGTCGCCTAAATGCCTTGATGGAAAGCTCCCAATGTAACTCGACCAGGAAACCGATAAGACGTTTAGATCACCTTTCGAGCTATACGTGTATTTGTTTCAGCACCCACAGGAATTGGGAATAGTTTAAAGAGGGACAAATCAATTCACATGATTAGACTTTCGTGAACTCAACACTTTTATTATAGGTACAGCGCCATGTTACGCTTCTTGTACTTCGCTTCTTCTACGACTGACTGTCCGCCAGTCTAGATCCTTGCATCAGACTATCGACCATGGAGGACCTGGAGAGAGCATTACATATGGAAATATAATACTAGCAGTGTAACGGATGTGACGAAATATAGGCCACTTTTCGCACAGGTTTAACGCATGGTGCGCTACCGTCGGGCGAAATAACTAATATGGCTGCCTCCATGGATTGACACTCATGTTCACACAAAGACACATGACTGACACCAACCCAGCGAACCTAAATTGACATACTGTGATTATTGTGAACCTGATTTCTTATATACTGTGTTTAAAAAAAATGGGTAGTTGTAAAATTTGTGGTCAATCAAAATCGAAATCCAAAAATACATCTATAACTTTTCACATGTAGGTAAATAAAATTAACAATGCTTCGGAAATGCTGCTTTCTCAGATGCCTTTTTAATATTTATGTAGAACGTTATGTTCTAAATAAACGTTTAATAATGATTAAACTTTGTAACAAAATATTCCTTCAGGTTTCCTAAAGATCCAGAAAGACGGAAGAAATGGATACAATTTGTTGATCACCCAGATTGGGAACCAACAAATTACAGTTTGTTATGTTCTGTTCACTTTACAAGTGATGATTTTGAAACGAATACAGGTACGAGAAGACGATTAAAATCTGATGCAATTCCTTCTGTGCACATTCAGCGAATCAAATATGTAAGTTATAAGGAAGCAAATATTTTTTATAATATATTCTTTCTCTTTCGTTTGGTTCAGAATAATTGTTAATATAAATTAACAACAATAATGTTTGTCAAAGCAGTTCTTTATTAATACGAGAGTTAATAAATATTTTTCACATTTTGCAGACACGGAATTTTGATACAGAGATCTGTGATTCTTTTAAAGACAATAAACTACTGGACATAACTGTTGTTCCTGGAACTAGCAACAAAAGTATTGCCTGCGGAGAAGACTCCTTTTATCCTTCAGCAAGCGACACACCTCGAAAAATCAGCCTTAAAAAGAAAATATTAGAATT